GAGTACCTTGCACTGGGAAGATGGCTGTTTTACCAATGATGTGCTGGCACTTTCTCTTCCCCCAACTCATGAGTCAATGAGGGCAAGATTTCATAATTATCTAGTGTTGGTCTCTCTCCAGCACAACAGTCCTGTAAAATAGAGGAGGTAAAATTTCAGTCTGCATGCAGAGCTTGGTGAGTAAGTTACAAATTAACATATGTGCCCAGATAAACATGAGAAGCTAATTCCTTCCTTCCCATTTTCTCTGTTGAGTTTGTAATGTGGGGGAGTTCAAAAGAATGCAGAACAGATGCTGATTTAGTTCTGCATTTTTTCTTGACAAATCTGAATTACTGTTAGGGCTTTTGGAGGCATTAAAAAGTTAAGTGAAGCATCGGAAGGTGTCTTGGATGATGAAAAATTCGTATTTTCTTAATGACCCTTAATGTATATGGATGCAAAAAGAATGCTTCATGTCCAAAAGCATAATTTTGTTTAGGTTACCTTGCTCTATGTTACAGAAGAAGGTAATTACATTTTCTCTGTGTGTATTATAGCTTTAAAAATTAGTTTGGTAGGATTTTCTTTATAACCATTTCTACCTTATCTGACACATAGGTATGTCCGAGGGGGAATATTAACAGTACTTTGACTAATACTTTTTAATTTATTTTTAAAATGTATTTAGAACACAGTAATTAATTGATCTTATACAACTCCCATGTTTGCCTCTATATTTTCAGCCCTACTGGCTTACTCACCTCAGAGGCTACGTCTATACTGCATGATTATTTCAGAATAAGCTATTCAAGAAGAAATACTCCGAAATAGCACGTCTACACTACAGGGAAGCCTAAAAATTAGTCCGAGGCAGGCTTCCCTATGCGCTACCTCAATTTAGAGCCCCAGGAAGCATTGGGGAGTAATTAGTTTGAATGGCCTGCATCAGGAGCTATTTCAAAATAGCAGCAGTGGAGCATCCACCCTATGCTATTCCAAAATAGCTATTTCAGAAGAGTCGTTATTTCTCAAGGAAAATGCCCAAATAAGCCGCCCGTTATTTCAAAATTTTTTCAAAATTACGGGCTAGCTATGTAGTTGCTTGCATAGTTGTTTCGGAATAACAGAAGTTATTCCAAAATAATGCTGCTGTGTAGACGTACCCAGAGGGTGCCAAAGTATCGTATTTTAGATCAGGAAAACACACAATTATCTTGCACAGGGTGCTAGAGGAACAGTGTGGCCAGGGTTCTCCATCTGGAGAACAGAATCCTTAATTCAGATTTTAGATCTAGATATACAATGTATTTTTATCCTCTCCTTCACAGCCACATAGACATAAATATCTTTCCGCATATTTTGTAACATTTAAGTTTTGATGATCCTGTTGGAACAGAGTCTGGACACTGTGTATGAAGCAAGCAGAAAGGTTTATTAACACACAGCACTGGTGGAGTGTCACTTCACTTATTAGGCTTGGTGAACACTGCCAGAGAATAGGTTACAATGGATTATATAAGATGCTGATGGGCGGATGAAGTAATGATGGGGGAAGATCCCAGACCCCCTGGATAGGTGCTAACCGTGAGGCAAAATAAAGCAATAATCTAAAGGTTATATAGTATTTTCCACCCATAGCTTCCAGGATACCTTATATCTAGTTAAACAAAGTACTTAAACAAACAGACATCAATTGTCAGTTATGTGTTAAGTGGCGATGTGTCTGTTAGCTTCAGAAGGTATCTTTGCACGGATGTGATCCATTGGTGTTACACCTGGAGATTAAAGCAGAGACAATAAGCATTTTGTTCCTAGGACCATTGAATGTGTTATGTCCTGTCTCTCACCCGTTGTCTGGATCATTAGCTCTATGGTGATCTTCCTCTGATGGACTAAGCAGGGGATGGAAGGGTAACCTTCATGTACTATGTCTTTGACATAGATGTTTTGTGTACCTGTTCCAGACTTGAAATTTAGAATAGGGGTTCTTAACAGAATATCATAGACTGTCTCAAATTTTTACCCTACAATCCTGTGTCACGCTAATGATATATGTCTGACAATCATTATTTTGCCATTTTAACACACTGTAATATGGAATATTCAACTTTTTAGAAAAGATAATTTTGTTTGGAAAGGCCAAACCAAATGTTTTTTAAAAACAATGATTTATAGAATAACCTAACACTGATACCAGCTGAATGGCAAAAGCAGCCTAAAAAAATCAGGAATGACTGTTTGTATAACTTTGCTGTCCCTTAAGCTATTATTTACCCTAATTTATTTTATAAGAACATAAGAACGGCCATAGTGGGTCATACCAAAGGTCCATCTAGCCCAGTATCCTGTCTTCTGACAGTGATCAATGCCACATGTCGCAGAGGGACTAAACAGAACAGGGAATTATCAAGCAATCCCTCTCCCGTCACCCATTCCCAGCCTCTGACAGAGGCTAGGGACACCATTCCTACCCATCCTGGCTAACAGCCATTGATGGACCTAACCTTCTATAATTTATCTAGTTCTTTTTTGAACCTTGTTGAAGTCCTGGCCTTCATAACATCCTCTAGCAAGGACTGACTGTGTACTGCATGAAGAAAAACTTCCTTCTGTTTGTTTTAAACCTGCTACCTATTAATTTCATTTGGTGACCCCTAGTTCCTATGTTATGGGAACAAGTAAATAACTTTTCCTTATTCATTTTTTCCATACCAGTCATGATTTTCTAGATCTCTATCATATCCCCCCTTAGTTTCTTCTTTTCTAAACTGAAAAGTCCCAGTCTTTTTAATCTCTCTTCATATGAGACCCCTTCCAAACTCCTAATAATTTTTGTTTCCCTTTTCTGAATCTTTTCCAATGCCAGTATATCTTTTTTGAGATGAGGTGACCACATCTGTACACAGTATTCTAGATGTGGGCATACCATGGTTTTATATAGAGGCAATAATATGTTCTCTATCTCTTTTTTAATGATTCCTAACATTCTGTTTGCTTTTTTGACTGCCACTTTACATTGAGTGGATGTTTTCAGAGAACTATCCACAATGACTCCAAGATTTCTGTCTTGAGTGGTTATAGCTAAATTAGTCCTCAACATATTGTATGTGTAGTTAGGATTATTTTTTTCCAATGTGCATTACTTTACATTTATCAATATTAAATTTCATTTGCCATTTTGTTGCCCAATCACTTAGTTTTGTGAAATCTTTTCGAAGCTCTTCATAGTCTGCTTTAGTCTTGAGGAAATTGGTATCATCTGCAAATTTTGCCACATCAATGTTTACTCTTATCTCCAGATCTTTTATAAATAGGTTGAATAGAATTGGACCCAGTAAGGCCCTTTGGGGGACACCATTAGTTACCTCTCTACAGGATAGAAGTATGCAAATTAAATACATTTTATCAAGCCCGTTAAACCCACTATAGTATCAACAATTGATTTTTTTTAAATCTAACATCAGTAAGTGTGTGTGTGTGTGTGTGTGTGTGTGTGTGTGTGTGTGTGTGTGTGTGTGTGTGGGAGAGAGAGAGAGAGAGAGAGAGAGAGAGAGACATGCAGAAACAAGAGTGAGGTATTATCTTTTATTGGACCAATTTTTGTGGGTGAGAGTGTCAACCTTTTGAGCCACACAGAGCTTGTCTGTGGATGTATTTGTATAGAACTATACACAATGTGGTATGTGGATGGAATGTAATTCTACCTGCTGTGACATATTACAGATAGTATTGTACATCTCAAGTAGTCTGGTCCAAACAGCAACCTTGATGTTCCTTTTCCATTTCACTTTTGAAAACTGACTGGCTTTCTAATGTTTCCCAAATGGCACATATCCAGAGCTCGCCATTGTTCAGCTGTTAAGTGTTGCAGTCCCCAGATTACAATGGCACTGGACTCTATAGCACAGTGTACTGGACAGGAAAACTGAAAGCAGAAGATTAACCCCGAGGCTTGGTTATGTATAAAGTGGAAACTCAGAATTTCTGAAGCAGTGTAGGAAAAAGCTACACTGCATCACTGCTAAGTGATCCATCATTCAATTTCATTGTCTGCAGATAATGAACACTTTCCTGTTAAACCAGCAAGGCATTTCATAAATTAGCAGATGAAAAGGAAAGTTTAGAAGGAGCCACTAGCCTCATTTTTACAAATGCAGGACACAGACAGATTTCTATCCTGAGCCATATTTTTATTATTATTATGAAGTGCTCTGAGTTGTCTGCATGCAATATAAATTAAGAAGATTAATAGATTATAATCTTTAAGGACTAGACAATGTTTTGTGATGCCTGCATGATAAACTACTAGGCAAATGAGATTGAGAGACCTATTTTTTTTAGAATTCAAAAAATATATATATACAGTGAAACCTTTGTTATCTGGCACTCTGTTTACCAGAATACTTTGTTAACCGGCATTGCCCCCCGCCATAATACTGTCACATGTTCAGGCGCACAGGCCTGGCTTGGTTTATCATGATTGGTATAAAAAAAAATTTTCATTTAAAAGGTACTAATCATCTTTAACTCAAAATAGAAATGTGAGACCAACTGCCTCACACTACAAAACTACTAATATTAAAAACTTGAGTTTTACTATTATTGTCCATTGGTTTTTCCTGGGTTGATGGGACACTCAGATAACCAGAATTTTTAGATAACCAGAACACCCTAATCCCCGAACATGCTGGATAATACAGGTTTTACTGTACATGCAGTTTTTTGCATGTCCAATTACTATAACTGCAAACTCCAAATGAGATGTCTGTACCATGCATATCTATCAATCTCTCTCTCTCTCTCTATCTAATCTGCCTTGTATGAATGCACAGATGTGTAACTAACTATTTGCATATGCAGTACACACATCTTGTCCTGTATGATCGAATAGCCTTGCATTTGGATGTGTAATATTAGACACTATTTTACAATAGACCACCACACTGTTCTCTGTGCCTTGAACAATTTTATTTTAGAAAATGCTCAAAAACTAAATGAAATGTTATGTTTCAAGCCAAATAAAACATTTAGTACAATCAGAAGACATTTTTTTAACTTTTCACATCGGAAAAAGTTTCAGAAAAATTTTGTTGTTTGTTCTCTTATCCTTTCCCTAGGAGGAGACTTCAACAGGAGTTGGCTCAGGTAAACCAAGGTGAATGAAGTCTCATCTAGAGTCACAAATGACTCCATAGCACTTAATTCAGGAATATGCAGTGAACATAAAATTTCTCTTGGTGCTATTAGGGCATCGGTTCTTTGCACACGAACACTGAAACAAACTTGGTAGATCTAGTTTGAGCTCTTCCAGGCTAAACATGGTTTCTTTGAAAATTTGTTTTGCTTAATTTTGTTGTGTTTTTACTGTACAGTTGATCTCCTGGAGTTCATTGACTAATTTTTAAATTTTTATTCTTTAGGCTTCTGATGACGAATCCTATATCAGTGATGTGAGTGATAACATATCTGAGGACAATACCAGTGTTGCAGACAACGTTTTCCGGCAAAGTATATACTGTGTTTTTAAAATGCTTTAGAAAATTGCATTGTTTTCAGATCATGAGCCAAATTTACTGCAGGTGAAGTCAGGCAAAACTCAGCTGAAATCAATGGAATTGCATCTTTAGTGCAATTCCAGTGGTGAATTTGGTTCCATGAGTGAACATTAACATTGTTATTTTTTAAAGGAGAGATTTCAATACAATAATATATTCTTTTCCCTGCAGTTCTTAATGGTGAGCTAGCAGGAGGTGCATTCAGAAATGGACGCCGAATTTGTCTCCCAGCTCCCTGTCCTGATACCAGTAATATCAATCTGTGGAATATTTTGAGAAATAATATTGGTAAAGATCTCTCCAAAGTCTCCATGCCAGTTGAGCTAAATGAACCTCTTAATACTTTACAACACCTTTGTGAAGAATTGGAATACAGTGAACTCCTGGACAAAGCTGCTGAAACTGATGATCCATATGAACGCATGGTAATAAATTTGGTATAGCACAACTTTGCATATGCAAAAGCTTACTTTTTTCTCATCTTCCCCAGGGAGTCTTGTGTAGAGTCCTGCCCAGGGTTCCATTTTGTCATTCACCAGGCTCATTGTGTATGTGAGATTACTAAGGGAAATAATGAGACTTTTGGAACTGCAATGCCATGAGCATGCAGATGATGTTGATCTCTGTCTCAAATATTCATCTGCAGTCTCTTGGCTTTCTGATTTCTGGATGAAGATAGGCTGAAGTGATAATGCACTGGTCGAGACTCGGTTAGTGAGAAAAAACACCTACTTGGTGGGCGTCGTCTGCTTCCTCCATTGAGAGCATGTGTTTGTCCTTAATCAAAGAGCTGTCAGTGATCTCTCTGTCATTTAAAATATCTTATTGCTTCTGAATTACCAGGTAACCTTGTTAGCTCAGAATACCATTTTTTACTTCACAGATGATTAGTAGTTTGTAGCCTTTTCTTTCTGATGTGGACCTTGATAGACTTTTTCATGCCTTTGCCACAAATGCAGGCTAGACTGTCTGCTTGGGGCAATTCTTGAATACTCCTTGGAAGTTATAGCAGTTGTAGTGTGTGGCTGCACATTTTCTCACAGATGAAACACTATCCCAGGGCTCCATGCTCTGCTTGAACTGCCATATCATTTCAGGATACAATTCTAGTTATGATCTGAAACCTCAGAATGGTCTAGTACCTGGCTGGATTAGGCATTTCTCATCACTCCAACCCCATTTCCTATAATTACAGTTCATATGGGATTTGATCTCAGTTCCTAGGATTGGTGACCATATGATTTCATTTAAAAATCCCGGACTATGCAGTTTTCTGCCTTGGTTTATCAGTGTTGAGGGTATTTGTCATTTGTATAAGATATTTTCTTGAGCTTCATAGTGACAGCTAAGTAATTTGCTGTTGGTACAATAGGCAATGGGGATTATACATTTGTCTTTAGTTTGCTTGAGCTGTCAGCAAATACCGTGAAATTGACTGTTGCCCTCATTTATTCAATTAGCTCAAGTGACAGAGTGTTTTACAGTGGATCAAAAGGTTCCAGCCCTGCTGATGGATCATGTGGGTGTCATGATGATGTTACCTGGTGGAATTTGTTTTTGCAGTTTGCTTTAAAAAAAACCTAGGAAATTATGCACCAAAAACCAATGATGAAAGAACATAAGGTTGCAGAGTCAATCCCAAAGTGGGAAATCCCAAAATTAAGGCTGTCTGTCTTTTTGGGCAGAAATGGGGAATTGTGGGAAGGCATGGGAGGCCTTTTACCACTCAGGTGATTTAGCCTGAGACCTTTAGTCTGAGTGGTTTAACAGCCCAAGTGAAAGATGCATCCAAGTCCTAGGCTGTGCCACAGTCAGGCCAGCTATGCTGGCTTTAAAGTGCCACCAGACTTCAGTGAGAAGGTTTTGTGTATGGACAGGAAGTGGATTAGGTTCAAAGCCTAAGTTAACTGTGTAGTGAAGACAAGTCCTATGCAAGCATCGTCCATTCACTGTACACTGAATAAGGCAGGGATCCCGAGGAAAACAATGGTATATGATAATGTTATTAAAAACTATGTAATAACACGTGTACAAAGAGGGCAAATTAAAGTTGCAAAATTTATGATAAACCAAGTGGCTTGGTCTGAGAACAAACACCATCAGGTAGAAGATCTCATCTCAGAAGAAAGGCAAAAGAAGATGACCATAAAGGAAAACAATTTTGTCACAGATACAAAAATCCAGTTCTTGCTGGTCTCTGGTGGGAATTCTGGTGTCATAAACAAGCATACTTCAATGATCCGGAATTTATCTGAGACCTATTCAGTAATTCCTGTTGCCCCCTTTGCAACATTAACCCTCGTCAGAGATCAAATTTGCACTGTATCTTCTTTGCTCCTTTGGTAAGTGCATAGAATCAATTTTGAAGGGATTCACATTAATGAACCAGTCAAAGTGATACTTTGCTCAGGTGCCAACTGGAGATGACAGAGGGAATTCAGTTAGATTTTCAGTAATTCCAGAGAATGTGTACCAGAAACTGAGAGAGCATGAGGGTGGAGATACATGGGCAGTGGTTGGTTGAGGAAAGGTAGCAGGGGTTGAATGAGAACTGTTAAGTTGAGTATAGATGGGTAGAGACCTGCACAGATAGAGTATCTGTACCTGCATACATACGCGCAAAAACCAGCCACGGATATCTGCATTGGCAGATGTGGATACCCGTAGATATAAAGAGGAGGCAGCCTGGCAACAGCCAAAATTAGAAGTGGCTGATAGAATTTGATGGTTCTGTGGGCTGAATTTGGCAAACTCAGTTTATCCTGAATGAGGAAAATCTCTCTTTATGGGCCAGACTGTCCACCGACCCTGAGCAGAACTCAGGCATGAAAGTGAAGGTAATTGCAACTCTCCAAACCAGCACTACCTGACCACAGCCTAAGCCATGATGGGCAATAATTTTTCATGGGGGGGGGGGACACTCCAAGAATTTGGTAAGTGGTTAAGGGCTGCACTCTTCTGTGATATTAATGGAGGAGGTGTGGGGTCTGGGATGGAGGATGAGTACAGAAGAGAACTTGGGGTAGAGGACTGGGGTGCAGAAGGGAGTGCGGGATCTGGGAGGGAGTTTTGGTGAAGGAGGGGGTTGTAACACTTTGAGCACTGTCCAAGGATGTGGCAAGCAGGGAGCCTGCCCGAGGTTCCTGCTGGGCCGCAGGCTGGTGGTGGGCCAGAACTGGCCTGTGGCCATATTTTGCCCAACCATGGCCCAAGTTATTGCTGCTGAGCAGTAGCTCTAACTGGTACAAGGTTGCGCAGGGTATGCCCATCCTTTGCAATAAAGCACTCATGGCTGGCCTGCATCAGCTGACTCGGTCTCACAGGGCTCAGGCAGCAAGACTGTACAATTGGAGTGTAGATTATACAGGATGGAGATCAGACTCGGGCAATCCCGCATCGCAGGGTCCTAGAGCCCAGGCTCCAACCTGAGCCCTGACATCTACACTGCAGTTTTACAGCCTTGCAGTCTGAGCCCTGCGAAGCCGAGTCAGCTGACACAAGCCAGCAGCAGTCGTTTCATTGCAGTGTAGGCATACCCTTAGGCTGTGTCCAGACTCAGGGTTTTTTTCCAAAAAAGTAGCCTTTTTCCGAAAAATCTTCACCTGCGTCTAGACTGCAGCTGCGTTCTTTCGAAATTAAATCGAAAGAACGCTGCTTTTCTTTTGACGGTGGTAAACCTCATTTTACGAGGAAGAACGCCTTTTTTCGAAAGTGCTCTTTCGAAAAAAGGCGTTCTTGAATGCAAATGGGTTTTTCAAAAGAGAGCATCCAGACTGCCTTTCGAAAAAGCGGCTTGCTTTTTCGAAAGTTCCGCTTGCAGTCTAGACGCTCTTTTTCGAAAGAGGCTTTTTCAAAAGTATCTTTCGAAAAAGCCTCTTTCGAAAGAGGCTTGCAGTCTAGACATAGCCTTAGAGACATGAAGACACAGCAACGCTCCACTTTGCTGCATCATGGAAATACCCCTCTCTTTTCTCCCAGCTGTGCAGGGATATTTTGTGATGGCGGCAGCTCCACCACTTCTGCCAGCTTTATGCCAACAGATAGTGCCTCTGTGTGAGAGTCTCTTTCTGTCAGTTATGGCTAAACTATGGCCATGTTTTATTGCTTGGTCAGGGCGGCCAATAGACTTTGCCTGGTCTTGAGCGAGGTGGGGGATAGCACCAGGCACCTGGGAGGGCGGGGACTCTGGCAAGGTGGACAGAGCTGGGGGCTAGGTTCCCCCCACCAGCCCTTCAGTGCTGTCAGGCATGCACCAGCCAGAACTCCAGCAGCAGTTTAAAGGGTCCAGGACCAACCACTGCCATTGTCACTGTAGTGGTGACAGTCAGCAGCTCCAGATCCTTTTAAGTCAACAGGCCTGAGGGCAGCTGCCCTCCACCTTCCCCATTGGTAGACCTGTGCCTGGGTGGCCAAAAATCACTATAACAGACTTGAGAACATAGCCCTGTGTGATTAAAGGCATGTCTATGCTATCTCACAGTGCACACCAAACTGCTACCCTGTAACTCCATCACAGAGCTGCTGTGGGTCCAAACTAAAATGTTCCTAGTTTGTATTAACCTAAATCTTAAGCCAAGAAGCTTTTAGTTCATGTCTGCAGCGTCCACACAAGGGAGTTACAGAGTGGCACTTTGGTGCGCATTGCACCATAGTCCAATCTATACAGCGAGAAGTTTGTGGGTACTGTGGTTGTTTAGCTCCAAGGAATTTTGAAAATCTGGCCACAATTGTAAAGCTATTAAATATTAAAGCTATTAAATATCCACAAATATTACATGGCAAATTAAGTTGCCCTCTGAAGAATTATGAATCAAAATTTGGAGACAAAATTTAATCTGAATTTAAAGGATGAAATAAAGGGATCTTAATCCTTCTCTAAATGAAAACAGCAGTCCAACTTCAGCTGTGAAACCATTACCAGTTATTCTTTAATGGCACTTCAAAGCAAATAGTAATGTTCTGTAGTATATTTTGTAAAAGTAATACTTAATATTGTGAGACGTCAGCTAATACAACCTCTGTCACTAAACCTCTGCTGGGGAATGGTGAGAGATCATAGGTTTTTGTTTGTGATTTATAGGCTGTCTGGATTAGCAAGATCTTATTGTACTGTTCTATGTTTTTCTGTATGCCCAAAGGCTATGGCAATGTGCAGCTGGTAAGTTTGTGTATTATTCAGACACATAAAAAAACAGATACTGCAGGCTTTACTTTCTGTTCATTACTTTGTAAGACATTGATAGTTTTCTGTTAATATGTAGCCCTTCAAATACTGAATGAACAAAAAAGCAATGAAATGTTTTTAAATAATACATTTATTCGTCTGCTGCACACACAATTGACAATGATGAGGGAGCACGCTGAGGAATCTTCAGCTGTTTTTGTGTGTTCTAACAGGTTCTCATAGCTGCCTTTGCAGCTTCAGGGTATGCTTCCACTTATTACAGAGCAGGAAGCAAGCCATTCAATCCAGTGCTTGGTGAGACCTATGAATGTATAAGGGAAGACAAAGGATTTCGATTTTTCTCAGAGCAGGTAAAACTTGTTTCTATGTAAATCTTCATTTCTTTGGACAGTAGAGTGACTTTTCTTTACAGTTAGGATATTGCATTCACACTAGAGTAAAGAGAAACATGAAAATTTGAAGTGAAAGTTATTAAATCCAGGAAAAAAATGTATAAATGATTAAAATTATATAAAATATATCCTTTAATCTATGAGGCTTTAAAATAAAGTCTGTTACATGTTAAACATGCTGAGGCTTTTTGTTTTGTTTGTTTCTTGTAATATATATAATTGAATAGTTCTTAGCTTGAGGTAATTGTTAATTGCACTGATTTTTAAAAATGAAAGACTTATTTTGTGTTAAACAACTCCTCGCCACCGTAATTTTTTTTTTCAGGTTAGCCACCATCCACCCATTTCTGCCTGTCACTGTGAATCAAAGAATTTTGTGTTTTGGCAAGGTATATATTTTAATTCAAAAGCCTAAAGATCAAGTTTTTAATCAAAATAAAAAGTTTATGTTCTCAAAAATCATTTGATTAGGATTGTAACTCTCTGGAATTTATCTAAGAGATTAGTTTACTATATAGTATTATATAAAGTTAGTGCTGACTGTTACTTTAAAGTGTTTCAATTTTAAACTGTAAGGAACAAGCCGATGTTGTATTTTATCCCATTGCCAGTGAGACTTGCAGTACATAATTTCTGCTGTCTTTATTTAAAAGCTTTATACAGAACACACTATTATCTGTTACGAGATTAGCATAATGACAAGGGGTACGTTAGCCTCTCTGACATAAGGTTGTCCTTCCGGTATAACCTTTTTTCTGTCTTCAAAGCAGGTTAATGTTCTGTTCGAAACAGGCAGTCTGGCATAGATCATCTGGTATGCCATTTAGTGGCATAGATCACTGAAAAGATAATATTTTGGTCTTTTGTGATTTTCTAAATATTTCGCTGTATTATCATTTAGATATCAGATGGAAAAATAAGTTCTGGGGGAAATCAATGGAGATCCTGCCAGTTGGAACACTGAATGTGACTTTTCCAAAGTAAGCTATTGTCTTCTTTCCTTGGGCTGTGGAATTTTTTTTATTTGGTTGTTTTTTAAATCTCCATAGATGCTCTTCCTTCTGGAGGGCTCCATGGATTGTGCTGGGGGCTGTAGAGTTCCCAGTGATTAGCAGTAGGTGGGATGTAAGCTCCTTGCTTCAGTCTCCCACTATGGGATGGGATAATGAAGCCTTTCTGGAGCCTGAATGCTCAGTCAGGCACTTGAAGGGAAAACCTGGGGAGATTGCTAGAGCCCTGTGTAAATACAAAATTTATATCTATATCTGTATCCACAAAAATGAGCTGCAGATATCCATATCGACATCCTCAGGTGCAGATACTCCTGGATATAAAACAGATATCTGTGGATTTGCAGGGCTCTGGAGATTGCGTCTCCTCTACCAGAGCATCTCACTGGTAAAGGAGAATGAGTGTATGTGAGGAGGCACAGCTCCATACCCAGTTGTTAGAATGATGGGCTGCCCAGAGCAAGTCTGTTCAATACCACTCTAATGGCAGGTGCTGCTCTGTCTGAAATAGGCTCTCAATGCTGCTGACGCTGGGCTCATCTGAACCAGGAAAATGTTTCCAAATCTTCTGTGATATAGACAGAGCCACATGGCTTCCTTCAGATGGAGCCCTGAGGGAAGGGAGTAGGGATTTGGTCACATAAGGAGAGGTTTATGGCCTCCCAAACCTACAAAACCTATGAATCTTCAGATCTTGGGGTGCATGTGTGCTCTGCCCCTGGCAGTACAGCTTCTGTAGGTGCTGGGTCTTGTCACAAAGTGGTAGTTAATGCTGAAAGAACAACATTGCCGTCTGCATATATCTATTGGCCTGGTTATCTGACAGGTTAGGAGGGGAGTTTGCCATGTATAGCATTTGCTCCCTGGCTCTATCTCTCCCCCCTTCTCCTGCAAGGACCGGGGAAGCTCCGGCTGTATAGAGTTGCCACAGAGGAATTTTCAGGAAAGGGGACAATATGCAACTGAGTTATTGATCCCCACTTCCTCTCTATTCTTTCTATTTCAGAACTATTTTACTTGTATTAGTTCCTGTTGCATTCATGGTAACCAGAGCCCCAGTCCACCACAGTGCTATAGCTCATGCTGAACTTTAATCCTACTGAAGTCGCTGATCAGGGCCAAAGTGTTCAGGACTACAGGATTGAGACTTTAATGTGCAGGACTTTGGTGGTTCCTGGGGTCTCTTGTGAGTCTTCTATAATGGAGAGAATTTCACTCCCATAGAATAATTTAGAATTAATGATGGGGAATAATAATATGGAAGCCATACTTTTAATGTGCCAGACTAATGATTCAAATATTTGTGAGGGTTGTCGTTATTTTGTATATTTGATTATCTGACTGGTTTTCACTTCTTTACCAATTATTTACTAACTTTTTTCCCAGGTATGGAGATTACTATGTGTGGAACAAAGTCACCACCTGCATACACAACATCCTTAGTGGAAGAAGATGGATTGAGCATTACGGAGAAATAACAATCAGAAACACAAAAAGTAGTGTTTGTATTTGCAAGCTCACATTTGTCAAGGTAACTTATAATCTGTCATACAATATATGACAAAATATATGGCAATATATGACAAAAAGTAAGAACTACTTTACTTAGCCTAGATCTGGCTTCGCTTTCCTCAGTCTTCTACTGTTTCCCTAAATTCCTTCTTCCCTGTTCTGTGTCATCACCACCATCTTGCCAGGTAAGAAGCCCAACAATGAAACTCTGCCTAAGTTTTGTCCTGAGATGTCTGCCACTATTCACATGTCTCTGTGGCTGATGAGCCAGACCATTTGATGCCAGCAGCACTGACAATAAATTACTGTTTTTTTTTTATTTTAAAAAGCAAATGGATATTCTGCTCTATTACATGAGTGAAAACCAGAAGCAACTCTGTCCTTCAGAGCAGTTACTCTGATGTTAGACTGTTCTAACCATGATCAGAATTTGGTCTTCAGTTTCTTATCTTGTTAGAATAATGGTGTTCTGCTTTATTATATTCACATATCTTGATGACAGTCTCATATAAAAACAGCCAGATAGATCTGTTAGAACTGATTTTTTTTTGTAAAAATAATTAAAGTGATGAGTTTATCATCAGTGGCATTCCTATCAACATTTCATGTCAAAAGACCCACTGTAGTTGCTGCACTAGTGCATTATAGCTTGCCTAGGGTCTGCATTTGTTCAGTACTTTGGAATAAGGTTGTTTAAAGATCAAAGGGAAGGGAATAGATATTCCCAAGGAAAGGAAGAAAAGAAAAGGAGGGCAAAGGAAATAGAGGATGCGATGGGGTGAAGGTAGTTCCCCCACATTGAGTTGACAGGATCAGGGCAAAGAATTCTTCAGTACTGGAGAGTGGCAGTGGCAGCAACTTAGGTATTTGGGAAGAGGAAAAAAAATTATACATTTGATTTTTTTTTTTACTTTGGCGGGGTGCCTTTTCCTACTACACAATGGAGTAAGGATCTGACAGATGAAGAGACTTTATATTACCAGTGTGCTCAGATAATTACATGAGCTTGAATCCCTATACAAACAACCAAACTGCTATTGTCATCAGAGGTGATCAGTAAACCTATTTATGTTGATGCATCCAGTATTCTGATTTCTTCATTTTAAATCACAACCATTATGAGGATTGGCAATAGATTTTGAAAAAAAAAAAAAAAAAAAAAAGAAGTCTGATGCAAAATCTGGAACTACCCATCAGGGGCAGATAAGAAACATTTGCAATATGTATGGATTCTCATGCAGAAGCATTTGTTACTTTATTACTTAGTCCTGCCTGGAGTACTGGAGATTGGATGATTGGATTAGATGATCTATTGAGTAGGGATGTAAAATTCCATTTAATCAGTTAGCTGCTTAAACAGGGACATGTGGGGAGCTGGAGTGACTCCCTCACCATGCTCTGGCTGGGCTGGAGCACCCCTGCCTGCAAGGCACCTGGCCAGGCCTGCTGTAGGCAGGGGTGGCTCTGTCTGTGCTGGAGCCTCCCCCACCCATGGCAGGCCCCACTGGGCTGGAGCAAGTCTCCTGCCCGTGTTGGGCAGGAACTGCTCCAGCCCTCTTTGGTTAACCGTATCCAGTAAGTATAATCCATATGGGGTGATGCTTACTGGTTAATCATTCACATCCTTGCGATTAAGGTCCCTTTTAGTCATATACATCTATGATTCTGTTGTTTTCCTATCTATAAAATATTGTGGTCCAAACATTTTTCATTGTAATCCACTTGTTTAAGAGATGTTGAGGTAAGTTACATGGTAAGTTTTCCCTAGTTATTTTTAGAGATGGACACAAAGGCTTAGCATATTATGTTGTTCCAGGCTGCCATTTTCTTTTGGGTTTGAATGTAACTAATATTCATTTGGATGAAATTCTAATTTGTGAAATGCCAGCAATGTGCACAATAGTATAAAATGGAAAATAATGGCCAAGTCACCACCCATTAAGACTTTATCATGTAAATAGGGTAGACGTTTGGTAGATTAGTTAAGTCTATATAGAGTTGCTGAGATTTTTGTAGTAGAATTACAAAGATGTCACATCCTTATGCATATCTTACATTTCAAGAAATAAATAGCCTCTAATTTTTCTTTGTTGGAAATCTAGCTGCAAGTGATTTTTATTTGTCACGGTATTTAAAGGAAGTATGTAGTGGGGTTTTGTAGTATACAGTGTGACAAGGAAATCAACTTTGTTTACTTTCTTCACTTTGGTACATTTCCAGGTAAATTATTGGAATTCAAATGTAAATGAAGTTCAAGGGGTTGTCATGGACCAAGAAGGAAAGGTGGTGCATCGCCTCTTTGGAAAGTGGCATGAGGGACTATACTGTGGGATTGCACCTTCAGCAAAATGTATATGGAGGCCAGGTGAGAAAATTCTGGTCAAGTGAAATCCTTCTGGTGTCTATAGTCTTACTGGAAATATGTAAAGCTGCTTTTAGCCACCTTTTTAAAATACAAATGGAGAAACAAAATACACAATAAACTAAATAGCGAGAAAGGTGTAGCAGTATATTTTATTATTGAATGTAAAAGTATCTAAAAAATGTGTATACTTCATCTCAGTCATTTTTTATATTTTGCTCAAAATTTGAGGTTAAAATTAATTCCTGCATATTAATTCCTAAATTAATTTATCGTGTTGGGAACATTATCTGAAGCAATAAAGAAAATAATTGGATTTTGGAATAAGCAAAATGTATATTTTAGCATTATCCTCCTTTCACACCAGCGCAGATCAGGGTATCTCTGTCAGATTAAACAGAATTACATTTTTTATAAAACCAGCATAAATGAAAGGAGAAACAATTTGATTATGTCAATCCATATTGCCTTAATTGTCTGGTTTTCAATGATAAGGAGCACTTGTGGTTTCCATTGACATAAGTTTCCTAAAAATTGGTTACTTGTTTAAAGAGAAAATGTGAATCCAAGTGATCATTACTATTCACCTCGTTACTCTAGAGCAAAGTGGGTGTTTCTGTTCTAATTTGATGACATTTTACACCCATTTTGCACTGGTGGATAGGAAAATCAGGGCAACAGTGAATCACATGCTATGAACCTGTTTGGATACCAACATTTGGTAGAAAACCCCAAACATTTTCTTTTTTGAGTAGAGTGGTTTATTTTTAACTTGAAAGGAATATTTCAGATATTTCCCAAAAGAGAGATTTAAAAAGTCTTGATCTGTTGTGTAAATAACTCTATTGATAACTCTATTGTAGAATACATTAATATTAAATTAAAGATGGTCTACCTAGAAAATAATATTTGATACATTTTAAAATTGTATAAAAAAGGAATTGTAATGTATCGATATTTTATTGGCTGTTATAGCTTTATAAATTCATTGCACTCTGTGTATGTGCTTATAAAATAATAAAATAAGAATTTTTGCTTCTCAAATATGTTTATACAGGATCCATGCCAACCAACTATGAACGTTATTATGGCTTTACAAGGTTTGCTATTGAACTCAATGAGTTAGATCCTGTATTGAAAGATATTCTTCCAACAACAGATGCACGATTCAGGCCAGATCAGAGGCAAGAAAGCTCATTTTTATGTTTAATATTTATGATTATTTTATGGCAAATTTAAATCCCACCATTTAATTTTGCCAAGATCTGCACTATGATATACGTTAGGCGTTAGAAAAGAAAATATTAAATATTACAGTAAAAACCGTGGCTTCTCCAGCTCAGGAAAGGGAAGCATACAGATGTCCTGGTGGTATGAGAATTCTTCTGGCAAAGGCAGAATTCTAGAAAATTCCAGGAAATATATGCTCTGGAGTGTCCTTTTCTACTCCCACAAATAAAAGTTTATCTAGAGGTTGTGCTTGCTGTTAGCAGTATAATTTGACTCGCAAGGTGCACGTGCTTGCTATAGGTTAGGCAGGTATAGCTGGCAAACCAACATGTCAGCCATTCTTGTTATCTTAGCTTTCTCTTGCATGCTATGGAAGGATCCTACACTGTTTATGCAGAGAGTAGGCAGCTTGCTCTTATGAGCTGAAAATATACATAAGACTAAAACTGTATTTCAGACTCAGAAGTATAAATTGAATGATTATAGTATTTCCTTTTTAATGGACTCTGGCCTTAAAGTAGGTATATGGAACTCAGTAGTCCTTTTCAAGGACAAAGCACTTTTCAAGGCTTCTGGCCTTGTTTTTTTGTGATGAATATTTCTTTTTTCTAGCAATGTTTTTACAGAATATATTTTTATAGAAGATGTTGTTGTATATTTACTGAAAGATCCATTGTTATATGTACAGACTTTTGGAAGAAGGAAATGTAGAAGCAGCATCAGCAGAAAAGCAAAGAATAGAGGAACTCCAGAGAAGTAGAAGACGGTACATGGAAGAGAACAACATTGAATACACACCAAAATTTTTTAAGTGAGTAAAGTGATTTTTTTAATAAATCTATAATTTGTTTATATGTAGCCATCAACATAAAGAGAACAGACAGGGCATCTGCCTCTCAAATAGCAAGTCCAGAGTAGTGTAATAAAGAAGTGAAAAAATGGAAACAATCCAATCACAAGAAATATTTTCAGAGCTGTGACACCTGTCCGAGGCCATTTAAAAATATTTTAAATTAATTTAATGCTGTGAAGGGAGGCAGATTAACCAGACAAGGAAGCTGATATTACTTGTTAGGCCACAAAATAAGAAGTAAGACGTGGACAATAGCCTTATAAATATCTTCATACCACCCTGCCAATGTGCCTTAACCTTAGTAGTGAAGAAGGGCTGTGGTATAATTTTATTAAACAAAATGACTGAAATGCAGAAAGGAACCAAACAGCATAAATAATGGAAGTAAATTAATTTCTTATCTTGCCATCTGGTCTACGTAGTTAGAGTACACACACACAAAGTCCACTGGAAGTCAACAGGGCTTCACCTGGGTGCAGGCTTCTATGAATCAGACACAGGTTATGAAATTGTTTCATTTTTAAATCTCTGATGTTTATGCTAGGTATCCTTTTAAAATATGCAATCTATTAATGTAAATCTTTATTAAGACAATTTTCATCTGGTTTTGTTTTGTCTCTCTTTTTTGCTTTTGCAGAAAAGTTATAGATGCCAATCAAAGAGAGAGCTGGGTTTCTAATGACACCTATTGGGAACTGCGAAAGGATCCTGGCTTTAGTAAAGTAGAAGCCCCCATACTCTGGTAAACTGAGAATGTAGATCTAGTAAACATATCACTCTCTGAAGAAGAAGAAAAAATAACTATGCACAATATGTTTCTTATAGCTAAGTGTGGTTTGTGGGTCTACAGAAAACCTACCATTCGCTTTTATATTCATCTTTATAATGGACTTTCGAAAGTGCATTAGACCAGGTCCCTGGCCACTTTTGGAACCTTTTTATTTTGCAGCAGCCATTTAAAAAAACTTTTAAAGTTTCATTGTATTAAAAATGCAAAACAAAGGAAGCAGATATGTTATCCAGAGTTGCTCGGAAGAGATTGTAAAACACAAAACTGCAACCAGTGCTTAAGACAGTCATTGAGAGTAACAACAAACAAAACGAAAGAATATAATCCATTTTGTTTTCACTTATTTTGTTAAACTCTCTTGTGTTACAACAGTCTATTATTTCTGGCTTGAAACTAGTCCTTCAGTGTAATGTGCTTGGACTAGCCTTGTCAAAAAGACATAATGCTTTTCTGGAAGCTGTTCCCATTCATATGCCATTGTTCATGCCTTAAACAAAACATGAAGATATCCAATAAGTCATTTTAAAATACGTGTGCTTAGGCTTGTGTGAAGGGCAGATTTTATTCATATTATAAATATTGGCGATCATGTATTATTTAAAAAAAATCCATCTAAATAGATGAGAAGGGGAAAGTGACCTGCTGTACATGCTTTTGCTTTGTGAAGCTGGTTGTGTAATCAGACTGAAACAGGACAACTTGCTAACTTTGTGACAGTTTTGGTAAATGCATATGGGTTGCTAGTCTGAAAATTCATATCCAACATGCCTAATGCTGTGATGTATTTATCATATGTGCCCCTGATTTGGTATGAACTCTCACGTTTTCACATTTCCCCATAATGGTTTATACCATTAGAATTTCTGGCAGCTTTGCAACAGTGTTAGAAACACCAAAAGATTTCATAGGAGGTCTTCTGGTTTCTCTCCAGATACTGGATGGTACTATAAACATAACTGGCACTTTCTATCATGCATACTATATATCTTACTGGTCTGTTTATCTGTGCGCATTCCCCACCTGAATTTTTGAGCTAAATTTGTTTGGGGAAGGTTAGAGACACCCATGCATGCCGAGTTAATGGCTTTTTGTGTTGTCAAAATAGTTTTTATGCGAATTTAATTTTCAGAGTTTTTCACAAAGTGATTCTGTAGTTTTTTATTAGGACTCTTAAATGTTTTTATGCCACAGTTAACATCTATAGAAAGAGGCTGGGCACTTTCTGTCTGAAAAAATGACTAAAATGCATAATTGTGGAGGGCAAATATTATTAATTTTTGTATTTAAAATTATATATTCCATACTATAGAATCTAGTCCTTTCTTAATGCACCTGGTGTTTAAATAAATTAAATTTGCCTGTATACATCTTTGGAACATCCTGATGACACTTTCGTGTGTCATCTTGTATCTTTTTGCAAGTACTGGGTATGCTTATGTGTTCTGCAGCCCAGCATTTCCCACAAGTCTGGATATCTCCCTCCTCTCTCTGCAGCTTCATGGAGGCAGATCAGTATTTTGGTGCTACATAGACTCCTCTACTCCTCCTTACTACCAGATTCTCTGCCTTCATGTCAGCAGTTGGTGTCGGTTTCTCTTGCTCTCATTCTTACCTTTCAATTTGAGCTTTATCTGCCCAGTTTTGGGGCAGTAGGTAGCAGTTTTCTCCTCCTCCCACGTTCATATTTCTTCCTGGGTCAGTTACACCTCCAGTAATTTAACCCTTTCTGAGCATCCGCTGCAGCATTTCCCTGTTGGTTTTTCTGCTACTATGTAAGTATAGCTGAGCAACCACGAAAAGATAGAGTTAAATCCAAGAAGTGCTCTGTTTGTAAGGCAGCCTTCCCAGGCTCACCAGAGAGTGAGTTATGCCCAGCCTGCACCCAGCCAACCAATCCTAATTCCATTAGGTCCCCGGGCTCCTAATCAGAAAGTTATAGGTGGGGTTTTCTTTTCACCTAAGAAGCCATGGCTCCAATCAGGGAAAAATGTACCAGAACCCCCAGTGCAGAGCAAGTAAAGGCTTTAAAAGCAAGGAGGTCCCCAACCATTTAATTCAGGAGTAAATCCCAGAGGAATTTTGCCAAACAATGAGAGGCTTCAGGGGCCTTGCAATCCCTCCATCCCAGTCTTAAAGAGGGTCCTGGGGTAAGAAGCACGGCTTCTAATCAGTCTGCTTCCTCACAAGCTAACCAGGAAGGGTTAGAGAAAAATTCCCTCCTTCCTCTGGGAAATGGGACACAATGGGGAAGGATTTGGAGAGACATCTTGAGAGGGCTTGAGAGCCTGAGAAAGGCAGATCACAGACATCCTCAGCAAAACCACAGCAGAGCTTCATTGCTCCCATAAAACACTAAGAAGGCTAAAAAAAACAAAAAAGGGAAAGAAAAAAAATCCAGGAGATTTTCGTCAACAGCCGACAAAGGAATTATTCAGATAGCGAATCAGGGATACTCTATTGAGCTAAAAGCTCCAGTCCATCTGTTCTTCATCCAATAACCAAGTTCCAATGACCCCATATAACACAGGAGCTTCCTGGGGTAGCAGAGTTAAGTCTGTTACAGAAAAAAAACAACAAATGGTCTAGTAGCACTTTATAGACTAATGAAACATGTAGATGGTATCATGAGCTTTCGTGGGCACAGCCCACTTCTTCAGATTACCAGAGTTATAAGTTGGGGATATGAAAACTCGAAATAAATAGGAGAGGGGAAGGGGAGGGGGGAGAGAAAGAAACAGGGAGGAAGGTGGGAGACAGAGCATCATTAACTATCTGGAGAATGGGTACTTAAACCTAAGCAGATAAAAATCAATGTCAATAGATAGATTCCTAAAACAGGAAGGATACCACTCAGGGAGCTGTTAGCACCTTCAGTGGTTATGAAGTAGACAGAGTCCCCACCAGCCCATATGACAATTGAGTCCATTAGCATGTGAATTGAATTTGTGGATGAACTGGGATTCCAACGCTTCTCGGTGTATTTGGCTTTTAGAGCTGGTTTGTGACAAGACAGCTACTTGCAGGTTTGTCAGACTGTGATTAGAGAAGCTGAAATGCTCACCAACAGGTTTCTGTATATTCCCTTTACGTATATCCAATTTGTGTCCATTGATTCTTTCCCACAGAGACAATCCAGTTTGTCCAATATATATAGCATTGAGGCACTGCTGGCATTTGATGGCATAGATCAAATTATTGGATGTACAGTCAAATGACCCTTTGATTTTGTGGCTTACATTGTTTGATCCAGTGATGAATTCGCCAGTGTAGATATGTGGGCAGAGTTGGCATCTTTTTTGGTTTCAGGGCTGGGTTCCTGGAGGTTTATGTTGTGGTTGTATGGTTATCAGAAAGAATACGTTTCAGGTTAGGGGGTTGTCTGTAAGCAAGAATAGGTTTTTCTCCTAAGGCCTCTGAGAGTGAGGGATCATTTTCCAAGATGGGTTGTAGATTGTGTATAATGCATTGGAGGGGTCTGAGTTGTGGACTGTAGGTAACAACAAGAGGAGTTCTGTTATTTTCTCCTTTGGGTCTGGGTATTTTTTTGGCTCTATTTGTTTTTTCATTTCCCCAGGTGGGTATTTCAGTTTTAGGAATGCTCTGTAAAGATCCTGTAGGTGACTGTCTCTGTCTGTGGGATCGGTGCAAATCTGGTTCTATCATAGGGCTTGGCTGTATACAATCGACTGAAAATGTGTCCAGGATGGAAGCTGGAAGCATGAAGGTAAGTGTAGCGGTCGGTAGGTTTCCGATATAAGGGTGGTGGAAATTTTTCCATTATTTAACTGTACTGTAGTATCCAGGAAGTGGATTTACCTTGTGGACTGGTCCAGGCTGAGGTTGATAGTAGGGTGAAGGTGTTGAAATCCTTGTGGAATTCTTCAAGAGTCTCTTAACTGTGGGTCCATATGATGAAGATGTCATCGATGTAGCGTAAGTAAACTAGGAGTGCTAGGGGGCAAGAGCTGAGGAAACATTGTTCAAGGTCAGCCATAAAGATGTTGGCATATTGTGGTGCCATGCGAGTGCCCATGGCTATGCCACTGATTTGGAAATAGAAATAGTTTCTGAATTGGAAGTAGTGGGTGAGAATGAAGTCGCAGAGCTCTGTAATCAGGTGGGTAGTGTTGTTATCGAGGATGGTGTTCCTGATGGCCTGTAATCCATCTTCGTGTGGAATGTTGGTATAGAGGGCTTCTAAATATCTCTTCTTCTGGATATGGGAGTGTAGATAGGTTATCTGGGTTGTACTCCATCTTTTTCATTGTTTAGAAGTGCACTGGGGTATCTGAGCCATTCTTGACCTCAAAAGATTGGATAAAGAAGCGGAGATACTTATTATGTAATGAGCTCTTGTTTTCATAACCCCCCTAACATCTGATCACTGATGACCACTTCCAGATGTACGGAATAGTGGAAGACAATGAGCCACAGAACAAACAAAAAAAATGTTCAGTGATTTCCTTTCTGTGACCAGTGCTTATCACAGTTCTGCCAACCCCATAGTGCTTTTGAGCCCAGGGTCGGAGATGAAGTAGAATTTCTGCTTACATAGGACTATTTTTTTAATGGTCTAATCTACATAGTGATTTTTTTCTTTCTGGAATATTTGGTGGTAATGGTATGCAAGTTTTATAGCGTGGCAGGATCTCATCTGGCGATAATAGGAAGTGGAGCAGGTGTGGCCACAGCATGAGGTGCCAAAATGCTGATCTGCCTGCCTGTGAAGTTGCAGAGAAAGGAGAGCAACCCAGACATTCAGAATTGTGGGAGACACTACCTGCAGAAAGGATGTTACCAGTAAGAAATTTTCTCTTTTTAGTTAAAGATTGATTCTGATCTGGAGGTTTCCTATAGGGACATTGGACATATTACTGGATCATCAAGTCCAGTTTTCTGCTATTGCAGGCATCCTGGTCATGTACTTGTTCATGAATGTATCTGATATAATTCTGTGCCTCATCTTGAGACCTGCATGGGTAGACTTTAGAAAGACTCCATTTACAGGCCCAAGAGTTCTCATTGCAGAATCAGCTGTATCTTAACAGCTTTACCTCTAATGGTAAATGTCTGTAGTTATTTTATTTTATTTTATTTTATTTTATTTTATTTTATTTTATGTTGTTTATATAGTTTGTGGAGATTCTTCAAGATATGTGGTCCCTATTTGGATTCCGAATATGGGTGAACCATGCACACCAAGCAGTGGAATCAGGTGTTGTAGTAATGTCAGTTGACTCACACTTCCATTGTACATCTCCCCCATGTTTGTAGCCAAGACTATAATTGGCTGTGCTGGTCACTGCTGCACCAATATCCCTCTTATTGCTAAGCAGTTCAGTCTGCAGCCAAGGGGATGGAAGATGGGTATTGGAATCCAAAGGGACGGTACGATGCATTTTGAAGAACCTCTAGTTTATAGGTAAGTAAACTTCTTCTTTGAGTGCTAGTCCCTATATGGATTCCAAATGTGGGTGAGTAGTGATTAGGATGGGGATGCGTGCAAGGACATGCTTGGAAGTGTTGTCTGCAGCACAGCGTGGACCATGGTAGCATCTGCAATTGTGGCGTGGGTGATGGCATATTGAGATGTGATGGTGTGGCTGTAATGCCAGGTTGTGACACAACAAATGTTGTTCCAGGAGATGAGTAGGGAGATCAATGTGGTGCTCAGGTAGAGCATGTTGTGATTCCATCTATGATGTCATGTTGGTGAAGGTGTAGCATTCATGAATGCACCCAGAGACCCATTTGGAAATGCTCTAGAGAAGGGGGATTAGCCCTTACAATGCTCAGAAATTGACAGAAAGTGACATGGTGAGGTAGAATGCTAAGGCACAACGGATATCAATGGAATTCAGTGCTTGGTCTATGTAGGAGATGTGGGGTAGAAGACCGGAAGGTGAATACACTGATTTCGATGGTTTCTGACACCACCCCAGAGGAAATTTAGGGTTGAGATGTAATGAAACAGAAAAAGTACAGCAGAAAGGGATCTAGGGGATCTCAGGGTCATAGTGGACTACAAGCTAAATATGAGTCAACAGTGTGACACAGTTGCAAAAAAAGCAAACATGATTCTGGGATACATTAACAGGAGTTTTGTGAGCAAAACACGAGAAGTCATTCTTTCACTCTACTCTGGGCTGATTAGGCCTCAGTTGGAGTATTGTGTCCAGTTCTGGGCACCACATTTCAAGAAGGATGTGGAGAAATTGTAGAAAGTCCAGAAAAGAGCAACAAAAATTATTAATAGTCTAGAAAACATGAGCTATGAGGCAAAGCTGAAGGAATTGGGCTTGTTTAGTTTGGAAAAGAAAAGACTGAGATGGGACATGATACAATTTTCAGGTATCTAAAGGGTATCACAGGGAGGAGGGGGAAAATTGTTCTCCTTGGCCTCTGAGGATAGGACAAGAAGCAATGGGCTTAAACTGCATCAAGGGAGGTTTAGGTTGGACATTAGGAAAAACTTCCTAACTGTCAGGTGGTTAACACTTGAATAAATTGCCTAGGGAGGTTGTGGTATCTCCATCTCTGGAGATATTTAAGAGCAGGTTAAACAGACACCTGTCAGGGATGATCTAGACGGTGCTTGGTCCTGCCATGAGAGCAGGGGACTAAACTTGATGATCTCTCGAGGTCCCTTCCAGTTCTAGTATTCTATGATCTCTGTGGAAGACTGGTTCACTGACCCATTTGGCTGACATGATGGCTGGCAAGAAGATCAGTTTCATGGAGAGATGAGAAAGATAGGACATTGTTAGGGGCTTAAAGGGCAGTTTTATAAGAGCAGAGAGAATGAGATGAAGATCCTAGGTGGGTGTGAGTTTGACTGTGAGCGGGAAGGTATTGAGAAAACTAGGGATGTAAATATTGGTTTAAAAAGTTAACCAGTTAAACAATAAAAATTATATTGGCTAACTGGTTAACTATTAACAGAGGTCGCTGAGAGTGGCATGACAGAGGCTGGTCTCCAGCGCAGTGTGACTGCCCCAGACATGGGTAGAGTTGATCCGCCTGATGAAGGACAGCAATACTGGCTAGGAAATCAAGACCTTGCAGTCTAGGTGGTCACACTGTAGTCCAGGGGGTCAGGGAAGTGCATGGCTAGCAGGGGACTGTTTGAGTCCCCCACTGGCCCCGCGCTCCTAGTGACACTTCTGCCTTTGAAATGTAGCAAGAACCAGCAGGGCTCTTGCTACATTTCAGAGGCAGAGGCGCCCTTATTGACTAATCAAACAGTCAATGCAAATTACATCGACTATTCGATTAGTTGATTGACCTAAGTTTAACATTCTTATTACAGGCAGTCCCCGGGTTACGTACAAGATAGGGACTGTAGGTTTGTTCTTAAGTTGAATTTGTATGTAAGTCAGAACTGGTACATATTGTAGGGGAAACTCTAGCCAAACATTTCTCCAGAGAGGGAAAAGTTAACTCCCCTCTAATGTTTGTTTTGCTGTCTGTTCCCCTGTTCAGAAGATTTCACATCTCTTTCTGTCCCTGTGACAATTGGATTTTGAATATTTTGGGTTGTCTTGGAAAGAAGGATTGGCGATAAAGCTTCAGTGGAGACACCTTTTTCCCATGATAACTCTTACAGGAGTGAAT